GTGTTTCGAGTATCAGTTATTGTCGAACTAAATGGTTTAAGTCATTCATTATTTTTAAATTGAATTCATCTGTGATGTACTGAAAATATCGTTTAAATTTCTAGTTTTAATTGTTAGACTGTCTTCAGTTTACACTTGTTTGTTGTTAATTGTTACCGCTAGTTTTGACCATTAAAATATAAGTGAATACTGTATTTAGACTCAGTAGTCTTTTTTGTTCTTATCTTTGATGATAGACACTTGCAGTAATTATTATCTTTAAACTCACTCAATAATAACCTATTTAAAGTTGAAATACAAATCTGTCAACATTATAACATAACTAATATCATTCATTATATATGACTATCTTCATTTAGGAAATGTTTCATAGGAATTATTTATTTTGTTTAGCAACAAAGTCAATGACGAGAAACATTCATAAACAATCAGCTTTTTCGTTTTAATCATTCATTGTCTTTTACGCAAACGATTTCTGTTATTGTACATAATTTAACATTTATCATACCATGGAGTTAATCGAAGACACGTGTAAATATCAAACAAAATGACGTTCCAAGATAAACGATAGTAAAACACGTGAATATAACTTCACTATTCATATTGATTCTCATCTTAGTCCTACATTATTTTCTAACAAATTATCAAAGTAGACAGCAATCCAATTCGTGTGTAACAACTAACAGATTACAAGTCATTAATTTAAAATTCTATCTATTTACTCGTTTAAAGAAGAAATTAATCTGAACAATGATAATAAGTGTATATACTTAAGGCCTTATCTATGCTTTAGTCATATCCATGTCTGATTGAAACTGGAAGAGAAGTGGAGAGATTAGAATTTGAGGTCATTCACATAGATACTGGAGAGTTATTGATATTAATGTGATATTAGTCATCTGACTGAAAGACAAAATAAAAATGTTTATTATTATTACTATTGTTTACTCAAGAAGATAGTGTGTGTGTGTGTAGTTGTGTGTAGATGTGTGTTTAATTACTACAAAGAAAGACGTTATCGTACATCATATTATTTGAAGAATAATTGTTTACTTTATTTGTATCCACACTGTTGGAAAATGTTCTTACAAACTTGTGACTATCAGTAATATATAGTTGTAAGGCTGACTAATCAACATAACAACAACATCAGATGGGTTTTTGTGGAGATCTTAACCATTGAAATAACAACAACAGTTTCAATGAAGTCTTTATGTAATGGCCAGAAGAGTAAGATATTATAGAACGTTATTTTGAACGTACCTTCATTCAACTATCTCTTTCAATTGCTAATAGATTTTATGTGGTTGCAACTCCCCTTCCCTATCGAGAACTGTAATTGATCCGTCACTTATTGCCATATATGCTCATGTTTAGATATACACAAGACGAGTAATCTAGAGATAAGCTATAATATTTATATTGGATTGAGCAAACCAATTTTCTGATATTAAAAACTTCCTATCAAACATCTAATTGTAAAATCATCCGGATAGAAATTTATTGTAGTCTATAGATTCGTTTCAAGATTTTGAATTGAAGAAAACGTTAAATGTGGTTAATCTAACAATGAATTCTTTCTATAATTTCTATCTTGACTATAACCACATAAAGACTTTTAAAGGGTTAATTATTAGTAGCGAACTAGGATAAATGTACATAAAGAACCAGAATTATTTAGTCTGTTAGGAAAGCAGTAAAATAAATCGTCAAGTGAAAGGTTTTTTTCCAATGAACTGTTTGTTAATCAGCTTCCAAGTATATTAACACTTGAAATTAATTTGGATCGTTAGATGAAGGTTGAAAATCATTGAGCAGTGAACCGTTGTTTAGTGTAAGTGTGAGACACTTCGGTAATGAAGAATTAAAATATCACATGAGATAAAAACCTGTGATCGCTAAACTACCAAATCAAAGATCGTTAATCAAGTGCTTTTTTTTAATTTTTCATCAATCAACTTAAAGCGACATTTTGTAAACTTGAAATAAACGTCTTTAAAAATACCTTACATGTATTTGACGAAAAAACAGGTCTAACAAGTTTACTATATTTTCTAAGTCTGTTGATGTCTTTATGACATCACTTAAAATTTTAAAAGTAGTGCTTGGTTGATTACTATGTTAGTGAACTGTTACCATAACAACAATTTTTGAGATTAACAGAATTTATATTTTAAGAGTTCTTTCGTTTATCTTGTAATTTATCGATTAATATAGAGGTGATAATGACAAAATTTCAACCTGACATTGCAGTATATTTAAACCAGGAGTATGAGAAATTCTACCCGACTTTAAACCATTTTCAATACTTCCAAGGGTCATCCAAATATAGTTTTAGAATCATTTAGTATATCGTAGGTGACTCATTTGATTCTTTGTATACTTGCTAAAATAATCGCTTCGTATATTTAAAAATAGTTTAAGACTTTTAAAATCTCTGGAAGATGTATTGTATTTTTGACCTTAGAGATGGTTTCTAAACTCTGTCATTCTTCGTGCTCATAGGAAACTAACCTGGAAAACAACACTGAGTTTATTATAACTGATGTTTTCTGTCACAAGTAAATTAATCTATGAAGTGATACCACATTCAACTGAAGTTGTAAATATCGGTTCATACGATCAAATTTAATTGTTTAAGGATTACAGTACTTACAGGAGATAATATTCGAAGAGTGTTTGATAAACTATTTTTATTAACGCATTCACTGCACGTTATCGCTGTAAAAATTGAACATATTTGTTATCGTATGGCTATGAGAGAGAAATTTTTGAAAATAGATATATTCAGTTGGTCACACTATTGTATCATGTTTAAGCAGGTTTACTTATATAGGATGATCAACGTAAAACTGATTTGTATAAGTAAAACATAAATTCTTTTTAATGACCTGCATTGATTATAAGTGAAGCAAAAGTCGCGTTTAGGAAAAAGTCTTTAACCAGACAGTAAATATTTACTGAGTTCTGGTGAAATACTCGGTATCAAACTATGGGAATCAAGCCACTGTAGTAAAGAAGAGACAATAAAGATTTTACTGCCAATTTTAGTATATTACAAAATAATCTCATTATATTCTTCAGCTTTTTTTAATCCGATCTATCCCAACTTAATATATTATCTTTCAGTTGAGAGAATATCAGTTTGACGATCATCAGTTATGTTTAGTTGACCTATGATATTGACACTCCATCTTTTTGTAAATATTTGTTTATTGAATATCCAATTATTCTTATATTGAAGAAAATCTGACAAGCTATGTCATATTAATATTTATCCGATACTTCAATAAGTTCTTTGAAAAAAGTACATAAGCTGTACTGTACACTGGACTGGGAAAAATGTTGAAATGAGGAAACAAAGTGAAAGTCCTTTATCATAAGACTTTTCGTCAAATCAAAGTTACTGAAAACACTAGTAGATTCAATTTGCTTTAAAAGGAGTATGAACACAATTTATGTGAACAGTTTATTCATTAACAACTTGTAGACTAAACCTATTGTTACATATAGAGAATAAATGGTAATAATTCACTTGGTATTGTTTTACTTGAATCTTCCCATTGATGTTTTACGACTGAAATTGATCAGTCTCTTATTGGCATATGTGCATACTGTGCGTATGCCTCGATATTGCCTCAATTTAGAGGCATGATAAGCAAAGATGGATAGTGAGTAGCAGTGGGATGCAGTTTGACGCGCGTTTCGTCCTGTTTGGGACTCGTCAGCTGGATGTACCTGCATCTGACAGTTGATGTTCACTCTGGGACTCGAACTCAGTACCGTTCGCTTCAAACGCCATCGCGTTATCCACTTACCTACTGAGTCCTGATAGCCACTTGCTTGTGCAATCAGGTGAAGTTGAATTCACTTGATATTGTTTTACTTGAATCTTCCCATTGATGTTTCAGTCCTAAAACATCCCAGAGTGAACATCAACTCTGAGATGCAGGTACATCCAGCTGACGAGTCCCAAACAGGACCAAACGCGCGTCCTGAATTCCACTGCTAGCCACTATCCACCTTTGCTTATAAATGGTAATAATTCGAATTTCATGGCGATTAGACCTGATTATTCAAAACTCGTTTCATTCTTGATAATTGCCTTATTATTTAAAGTTACTTTATCTGTTGTTTCTCGGATTATCATCTTATCTAAAAATACCCAATAAAGTACCTAATTTTATACGTTATACATTTAGTTATTCCCTGAATATCCTGCCCTTTCAGTTATCCATTTTCAGTAGTACAGTAATGAAGAAAATTTTTGTGTTTGATAAATTGTCGAATTCATTCAACTTTAATATCCTTAAAAGTTACTGTAAAAGATTCATTTTTAAACAAAAATTCCTGATTACATTGTAAGAGAAAGCTGCAGTGATAGCAATGAATGACTAAATTACTGAACATATGTCATCTGAATTTAATGTATACAGTTAAATTACTTCTAATGGTTTTAAAAACTAATTTCACACAATTTTGATAACATAGAACTTTTCAAAAACTTGGTAAGACTACTTAGTGAAAGTATTGGTTCGTTTTGATTTACTTGTTATTTGCTATTTATATATGTTGTCTTCAATAGACAACATGATTTCCGAATTTCATTCTATACAGGAATAATTACTAACATAATGAAAAGGCAAGTTGTATCATATAAAGGTTATAAGGAGAGACAAATATTAAACCGCACATGAAAAAGAAGAGACCAATCAAAATCAAGCAATTCATAAATAAGAGAAACAGTAAATTAATGCTCAATGATCTTCTCTCTCCCCAAATTTCTTAAATATTGGAGAAATAAAATATTAAAAAAAGGATGTATGAACTCTTCAAGATTCATTAACCCGTATAAATAACGAGACCTAAAGTTGAGCATTAGTGATTACCAATTCCCTAAATTCATCAAGTGCACACATCAAAATTCGTCTATATTTTACACAGTAGAACATATTCATCAGCAGACTTTAAACAATCCGCGAAAAAAAATACAGGCAACAATGAAGAACACAGTTCAGAAGGCAGCACATCAACTAACGTCCTCTACAACATCAATGTCATCATTATGCGCATCATCACCTAATCCACGTAAACGTGTAGCTGCCAATTTGAGGGAACGTAAACGTATGCGTCTGATCAATCATGCATTCAATGGATTGCAATCTCATTTACCCAAGGAATTGTTACGTCCAAATACATTATTGAGTAGTATGAATTCAAAAATATGCACTTCCTTTATACATAGATACCGAAATTTTAATGTAGAGTTAAGTAACAAACAAGTCGATAGTCAATTCATAATGCAGTCTGTAAATCCAACCAGCTCATATTTTCACAAGGAGACCATTTCAAAAGTTGATGTGTTAAGGGCTGCAATAAACTACATTCACATACTTGAGGAGATTTTGGACGAACTGAAAACTGAACATTGTCCTGGAACATGGGATAGTGCTGCTGATCAGATGAACCCACGGAAACTGGACTGTAAGCAGTCAATACCTTGTACATATCATGTTCGTTGTTTATGTTCGATCAGACATTCGAATGAAGAGCGTGTGAACAAGTACCACAAGCAGTTAATGGGTGGTACAGTAATCAAGACAGGTGAGATAGAATATTTGATGATATTTTGAAATATTATTAAATAGGCGTCAAAAGAAGAGCGTTAGTAATAAAACAAAGCATCTGAAATATTGCCTCAATAATTATCAGACCCCTAGCAAAGACTAGTGAACTGGAAACAGGAAAATCAGGCTGACTTCAGACCTGGTCGTGGCTGTATTGACCACACATTCACCATTCATTAGAATTTAAACCACAGGTGTGCTTATCAGCGTTTAACAATGATAGTTTTCCTAGACTTAAAAGCAGCATATGACTCTGTAGACCGAGAGGTAATGTGGCAGTGTCTGTCATTCAAAAGTGTACCACAGAAGTACATAAACTTTATGAAGCATCTTTACTGTAACACTACTAGTCGAGTCAGAGCATACTGAAAACTGATATCTGAATTTGCAACCACAATGGTGTCCAGTATGGCAGTCCACTATCTCAGTTTCTGTTCAATTTCACTATAGACCTACTGTTCGAAATAACGTTCTCGTCGTCCGAATTTCCAGGAATCTATCTCCTACCAGGAGGTCCACTTATCGACTTAAAATACGCAGATGACATAGTCCTGTTTCGTGAAAACGCTGACAAAATGAAGAGTCATTTGGTAGCACTGAGCAACAGTGACAGCATGTTTGGAATGCATTTCTTCCTCTCTAAATGCAAGTTGTTGCTTCAGGACTGGTCTGCGTCAACGTCCGAACTAAGGATAGGGGGTGAAGTAGCCGTACGCATCGACAACTTCACTTATCTTAGAAGTCTGATCAGACCTGATGGGTTGATGTCTGAGGAAATCTCTGCACGAATTGAAAAGCTCGTTTGGCTTTTGACAACCCACATAACCTATGCAGAATATGAGATATCTGTCTATCAATTAAGGGACGAGTATACTGCTTGGCAGTTTAGTCTGTTCTAATTTGCGGATGTGAAATGTGGCCATTCAGGGTAGAGGACACTCGTAAGTTGCTAGTATTTGATCACGGATGTCTTAGAAATGTGGCCAGCATCTTGTCGTGTTAATGAGGTGTGGTAACTTGGACTGATGCATATATGAGCCTGGTCCAATGTTGTAGCTGACTGACTGGATTCACGTACATTTCAGTAAATAACATTAATGGAGATGCTTGAACAACACTTACGACCGACACTTCTCTATTGATTTATTACATTTGTCATTTTTTTCGTATGCCTCTGACACGTTTCTGATAGTCATCTGTCCTTGATAAGACAGCTATCAGTAGAGACGTCTCGTTCACAGTTGCATTAAAATAGTCCATTTATAGGTGCATTCTAAAAAGGATACTCTGAATTCAGGTTATCATATGACAGTGGCTAAAGATCAATACATGTCATCAAGATTCACTGAAGTCTCTTCATTCAACTACGAGACAGTTCATAAGCTTAATTACAAAAGAATCCATTAGAATTTGTCGTTCACAATATGCAAATATGTATAACACAGTTCCAAACATTTAACTTTGTTACAAGTACTTTTGTTCACAAGATAGGGAATAAGAGGCAGTCAGAAATTTAATCTCCTAGACAAACATGTGTTTCGGAACTCAAATCGATTGTGTAAATATTCACTAATAGTTTATGATTTTAGGGGAATTCATGTATTTGGATATTTAGTAGAACGGCTGGTGCAGAAAACATTTACAACAAAAACACTTTGTTAACTAGTGTCACATTGTTTCATCATGTATATTTCAGTAGAGTCTATTGTCTGACACATTGATGAAAACTTCTTAACAAGTTCGAATAAATTCTTGAGAAACCTAAAGTCAACACCGACATGTGCAGCAGCATCAAAAGATTACTATTCTTTTTCAAAATGAAATGATGTCAGCCGTGTATTTATTGTTTTACAAACATGATTCACAATCGAACACATGTGTAAATAAAGCAAATTATCACATTTAAATTGGTCATCACAACGTCGTTAGGGTTTGATAAGATAAAGCTGAAATAAGACAAAGTAACTACACTTCGCACACAATAACAATAGTAGTGACAATAATATATGAGTAGTGTGGGGGAGAACTCCAACATTGTCAAAAGAACAAATCCGATAACAATGGTGTTAACATGAATTCAAATGACCGGTCATAGCAACTTCAATATATGTTATAATATCGTTTGGAGAGAACTAGAGGGTGTGATTAGACAAAATATTTGCCTTGTTTCAGTATTCCGATTCGTAAAATATTCTTTGTGAACAATTGTAGATGGACATAGTACTTAGTTTGTGTGATTAGATAAGAATGATTGCCAATCAATTGATACACGTGGGTTATAACAACTCTCGAACAGTTTTAGCCTATCATAATTGCCATCATTTTCATCCTAGACATGAGTAGTTAGAAAACTGAATATCTTTGAGTTTAAACACAGCCTAATCACTAGAAAAGACGAATTCCTAGTGAATACTTTGTTGTATTTTGTGGTTCGACTTAGTCACTAATACATGCTATTGTTTGAGCGATCGGCTCTGTAGACGAAGGAGACTAAAACTGTATCAGAATCTTTATTATGGAAAACCGAATAATAATGCTTGAAGCTCATGCATATTTATAGACTACCATTTTGGCAGGAACACATTCTCCGCTTCCTAGGTTGTTGAATAATTCACTTATCAATTATAGTTCACCCACACTCCCACCTGTCACTATGCTGTCTTAAGATCACATGTGGTCTATGAGACCTGTCTGCATTGTGAAGCAACATTATAAAGTGGGTGAATGCTGATAAATCTTTTATTGGTTAATCCAATAAACATTTCAAATATTGTAATTGCGAACGATCTAACTGTAACTTGCCTGCATTGAATTTGTCGGACTTCTTATCATCCACTTAACCAGCTTTGTGTTAAAGATAATATGCTGGTAGTTAGTTTGAGACTGTCTTTGGTTTGTTACATGTATATCTATTGCACACAACCTAGAAATTAGACGTCAGTCTATCAACTACACCAATCGAAATTAAACATGAGGTTGGTTTAAATGAACATTTTTGGGACAAATGTGATAACATAATTCCAGTGTTCCTACCGACTACCTCCAATCAACTAGAATCTCAGAATAATACACGTGGTGTTAAGTCACTTAGACCAGTGGTCACATTTCAATTCGATCGACAGAATTATTTCAGCACTAGAGGAATAGATAAATCCAACATTGATCGCCACTCAGTCACCAATCAACCGAGTTGTTTTCATCTATCTGTCACTGAGCAATAACCATTATCATTTTGTCTGATGCTTGGCAGAGGTCGAATTCTGTGGATTGGATTTCCACATGGTCATCAGGTTGTGCAGCTTGATATCACAATGAGGAAACATGAAACATAGGTTCAAGGCTTCATGCTAACTGTCTTCAACCACTTAGCGTCAAACTTTGTGCATCATGATGTAGAGTCATACTCAAATAAACATAATACAACATCATTGATACAATTCCGTCAGCAATGGTAATCAAAAATAACATTGGTCACTAATTTTTGACCAAATATAACAACTATATTATTTAAAACAATTAGTCTCTTTATCGAAACTATATTATTACTATTATTATTAAATTTAACAGGTTCAGTTTAATATCGTAGCAGCTCTCTAGTTGTTAATTATTTTCCCTTTAACATAGGTGCAAATTCTTTGCCCATATTTGTTAGCTGGCAACGGGAATTCCAAAACAGAACAGAAAATCTAACACACAATGAACAGCCTTTAGATTTTACCTCGTACGAAGCATATTCAAATGGTGTCAAAACGTCTGAACCCAGTGCAGCCAAAATAGACGAGTCAACCGACATTAGTCACTCAATATATAGGAGAATACAAAATCCTCAGCATATAATTCGATGTAAGCAAACATGGTGGCCAAAAGTACAAAACGTACACACTTCTGTAAATAACTCAAGGAAAATAATTCAGTTTACTGATTCATATGAAAATAAATAAATATTTCTCGTAAAAACTAATATCTCTTAATTCGATTATCTAATTTTATTTATGTTTAAGATCAAACTAGTGTTTTTCTATAAAGGGACATGTTTTATCTAGGTTTTGATGATAAAATGTATGTTTGATCAGACTAATCAGCGAATACAAAACTTCTATGCGATGCACAAAATACTCTGTTTACACATCTCCAGATGAACATGAATATACATAGTTTAGCCATTATTTAGTAATGCTATAATCTGGAGTTACTCTTCTTGAACAGCTGTTGAGCATTGCATATCTTGCTGTAAGTTGATGGTTTAGATATGTAAAACAAGTAAACAATTTGAGGAGAGTGAAAATTAATAAATTTATGACAAATACCGTTAAGTTCATTGAACCACTAATAGTTTTGTGATATGATTATGGGAAAATATTGCAGAACACAAATAAGGCAAACACAACATAGTGTAGAACTATACAAATCAGTCAGATATAGATGGAATTAAAGAAAAATTGTGTCACTGTTATCAGAAAGGTTATTAATACAACATAGAGATATGTAACTTTAATTTTATAGATGAAGAGTGTGAGTAACAACAAACATTAAAGTTGTTTATTAAATGCAGTAATTCTAGAAAAATGTAACGATTAGAATAGGCGTTAACAGGTTAACTTAAATCAACTTGTCATGAATTATCATGGTACGAAACTATCAATTGACTGTGTCAATGGAGGTCATATCAAATTGTGAATTATTGTACAAGGGATTACATTTTTAACTAATTGTCCTCCCACTTCATGATAGGATCCTGATGGAATTATATACACATTTTACGTAATTTGGATCAGTTTATTCAACCCGACAACTATATCATTAGATTAACAATACAAGTGTCTATCTACTAGCTTATACAGAGATTACTAGAAAATGAGGCAAATTGTGACAGATATTGATTATTACCCTTTTCTATGTCAAAATGTAACCAAAACCAACGAAACGTAGTGGGATTATTTTTTCAGAAAAATCTTGTAACCACTACTTATTTGGACATAACAACTAATAAAGTGAATTGATATAGAAAGGTCAACATATATGGAAAACTAAGACACTATTTAGTCACCTTGGTAACAAAACCATTTTCTTGAATCGTGTAATGATTTAGTTTGGAAAATATAATATTTAGGGATATATGTATATCAGTCATGGCATTTCATATGTGCATTGACACGGTGAGTGGGAACTGTAGTATTAGAATGACATAATTTCTGATATTCTGACTTTTGTGAGTAAATCGGTTAAAGCTACTACGAAACATTTGGGGAGCTTTATTCCAACGTCATTTTTAATGAAAAAACTCTTAAACAACACTCAGTCGTAGTCTATTATTCTGGTTCAAAGGCTTGAAATCCGAGTTAACTAATAGAATTATTGAAGGAGATGATAATTGATAAAGTGGATTAATGAATTTAACATCTTATTATACTTATACAGTTGGTAAATTGTTGAGCACCGTGAAGAGTAATATGTTAATTGACACATTACCGAAAAGAATGTCACAATGTACAAAAAGATGTTTACTGTGAAGTTCTCAAAAAATGTTCAAATATGTCTATACTTTAAATAGTAACGTTAAAGTAAAATTTCATTGGGAGTTATTCAAAAGCTTTTAAATGCACAAGAGTTATGTCAATGGAATTGACCGATAATGGCTATGTGGTAATATCCTACATGTAAACTAACATGAACGGTTAAGGTATTCATGTTTGTAGGCTTTATTTCTCTGTATTCATGATGTAAAATATTTTATAACTTATTACAATATGATGAGTCCACTTATCAATAAACTATTCCAGTTAATCAATAGTCAAGAATTACAACTACTGAGATATCAGTCTTCAAAACAAAAATAATGTTGTGGATATGTCGTACTTGTTTTGATTTATTCTTTAATTGTTTGCAAGTGAAAAATCTATGCGAGTCTTGTTCATTGTTGCCATAGTTTCTATTCATAACTCTGAATAAGCAGAATTTTCCAATAATTTATTAGGAAGATTTATTTTCCTATAATACCAGTATATCTTGAACTTCAATCTTTCCTATAGTAGGAAGATATACTTGAGTTATTGATAGGTCAAATTATTTTTTGAATAGCTGAAATGCCTATTTTGTTAAACGAAAGAATACTAAAGTATATTTCTTATATTGGCAATGACTTATGCATCATGTCAGATTTAATTGACGTCATTTGTCAATAATTTCAAATAAACTTGTGTTAATTCTTATTATTTGTGTGCTCTGTCAACCTATTTATCTCAGCTGTCATTCGGTCTAACGTTCACAGAAAATTAAATAATTTTATAAAATTCGTATAAATATCAACTTCAATATACGTCTGTTCAAATTGTAGCTTAGTGTTTGAACAGCCAAAAAGGAATGAGATAATATAGCGTGAATACAGAAATCAGATAACATTACTTTATTTTTACGAGAAAATATTGGACGCATAAAGCTGAGTTAACAATGGTTTTCCTAACAAAACGGTTTCCTAAGCAATATAAATCCACATTTCAGTTTTGTCTACTTACAATACGATCAGTAGACCATTTCATATTGCTAAAATATCTTCCTATTACAGGAAAGATTCAAGTTCAAGATATACTGGTATTATAGGAAAATAAATCTTCCTAATAAATTATTGGAAAATTCTGCTTATTCAGAGTTATGAATAGAAACTATGGCAACAATGAACAAGACTCGCATAGATTTTTCACTTGCAAACAATTAAAGAATAAATCAAAACAAGTACGACATATCCACAACATTATTTTTGTTTTGAAGACTGATATCTCAGTAGTTGTAATTCTTGACTATTGATTAACTGGAATAGTTTATTGATAAGTGGACTCATCATATTGTAATAAGTTATAAAATATTTTACATCATGAATACAGAGAAATAAAGCCTACAAACATGAATACCTTAACCGTTCATGTTAGTTTACATGTAGGATATTACCACATAGCCATTATCGGTCAATTCCATTGACATAACTCTTGTGCATTTAAAAGCTTTTGAATAACTCCCAATGAAATTTTACTTTAACGTTACTATTTAAAGTATAGACATATTTGAACATTTTTTGAGAACTTCACAGTAAACATCTTTTTGTACATTGTGACATTCTTTTCGGTAATGTGTCAATTAACATATTACTCTTCACGGTGCTCAACAATTTACCAACTGTATAAGTATAATAAGATGTTAAATTCATTAATCCACTTTATCAATTATCATCTCCTTCAATAATTCTATTAGTTAACTCGGATTTCAAGCCTTTGAACCAGAATAATAGACTACGACTGAGTGTTGTTTAAGAGTTTTTTCATTAAAAATGACGTTGGAATAAAGCTCCCCAAATGTTTCGTAGTAGCTTTAACCGATTTACTCACAAAAGTCAGAATATCAGAAATTATGTCATTCTAATACTACAGTTCCCACTCACCGTGTCAATGCACATATGAAATGCCATGACTGATATACATATATCCCTAAATATTATATTTTCCAAACTAAATCATTACACGATTCAAGAAAATGGTTTTGTTACCAAGGTGACTAAATAGTGTCTTAGTTTTCCATATATGTTGACCTTTCTATATCAATTCACTTTATTAGTTGTTATGTCCAAATAAGTAGTGGTTACAAGATTTTTCTGAAAAAATAATCCCACTACGTTTCGTTGGTTTTGGTTACATTTTGACATAGAAAAGGGTAATAATCAATATCTGTCACAATTTGCCTCATTTTCTAGTAATCTCTGTATAAGCTAGTAGATAGACACTTGTATTGTTAATCTAATGATATAGTTGTCGGGTTGAATAAACTGATCCAAATTACGTAAAATGTGTATATAATTCCATCAGGATCCTATCATGAAGTGGGAGGACAATTAGTTAAAAATGTAATCCCTTGTACAATAATTCACAATTTGATATGACCTCCATTGACACAGTCAATTGATAGTTTCGTACCATGATAATTCATGACAAGTTGATTTAAGTTAACCTGTTAACGCCTATTCTAATCGTTACATTTTTCTAGAATTACTGCATTTAATAAACAACTTTAATGTTTGTTGTTACTCACACTCTTCATCTATAAAATTAAAGTTACATATCTCTATGTTGTATTAATAACCTTTCTGATAACAGTGACACAATTTTTCTTTAATTCCATCTATATCTGACTGATTTGTATAGTTCTACACTATGTTGTGTTTGCCTTATTTGTGTTCTGCAATATTTTCCCATAATCATATCACAAAACTATTAGTGGTTCAATGAACTTAACGGTATTTGTCATAAATTTATTAATTTTCACTCTCCTCAAATTGTTTACTTGTTTTACATATCTAAACCATCAACTTACAGCAAGATATGCAATGCTCAACAGCTGTTCAAGAAGAGTAACTCCAGATTATAGCATTACTAAATAATGGCTAAACTATGTATATTCATGTTCATCTGGAGATGTGTAAACAGAGTATTTTGTGCATCGCATAGAAGTTTTGTATTCGCTGATTAGTCTGATCAAACATACATTTTATCATCAAAACCTAGATAAAACATGTCCCTTTATAGAAAAACACTAGTTTGATCTTAAACATAAATAAAATTAGATAATCGAATTAAGAGATATTAGTTTTTACGAGAAATATTTATTTATTTTCATATGAATCAGTAAACTGAATTATTTTCCTTGAGTTATTTACAGAAGTGTGTACGTTTTGTACTTTTGGCCACCATGTTTGCTTACATCGAATTATATGCTGAGGATTTTGTATTCTCCTATATATTGAGTGACTAATGTCGGTTGACTCGTCTATTTTGGCTGCACTGGGTTCAGACGTTTTGACACCATTTGAATATGCTTCGTACGAGGTAAAATCTAAAGGCTGTTCATTGTGTGTTAGATTTTCTGTTCTGTTTTGGAATTCCCGTTGCCAGCTAACAAA